ATTACTGAAATATAGAAAAGGATTAAATACTTCGATTTCCTCCTGGATCTTGACCTTGGCATAATAATGAGCCAGCAGAAATACATCTGGTCACATTGCTGATAAAAGTCTACTGTTAAAGGGAGGCAGTGTTTTCTTGTACAGGATGTATTCCCCGCCCCCCTTTTTTTGGTAAGGACTGTTTGACAAGTAGCTAATGCAAACAGAAATTGAAGCTAACACATTTTTTGTTCTGTTATCTTGATGGAATTGTTTTTTAGCCCACATACTCAAGTACCAATATATTTCTCTCCTCATATGAAAAGGAACATTTTGACAAAGGATAAAGATCTGGAAATGTAAACATTATACTTGCTAAGAGAAAAAAAAACAAAATATGCTACCTTCTACTTTGGGTAGCACTAGCTCAGAAACAGGCTGAAAGTCTTGGGAGAAATAAATTTGCTTATCAATTTCAAATAATTATCTCTCTCTAAATGCCTTTCCTTGCTTAAGTACACCAAAAGCCTAAACAAATAATGGAAAACAAGAGTGTGGATATTCTAATTAGAAAAATCTGAAATAGCACTTTCATTTATAGTAATATATCATTTGAGTTTTTATGTGTTCGATGCTATCCGATAAATATAGTTACAAAATACATGCTTTATTTTTGAGTGTAAGTAAAATTATCTTTCTTGATAGCATCTACTATGTTATAAATATCAGATATTCAGAAGGAAATCTTCAGTTAACTTAAAGGAAACTTTGTAAGGGCAGTTCCTTACCACAGACCTTCTTTCTTACATGGCAGCATAAACATTACAAGAATGAGAAACATAAGCTCTAATTGCTACAAAATGCTTAGAAAGCAATTGCCCTAATGTGTGGGCAAATCGTTTACGCTGCCCAAGGAAACTTTTCCAGCTACAATTACATGGAGACAATTGTCAATTATATTTAAGATGCTCATGGATTAGAAACTATTATAGAACTTGCCAGTTACTGCACTACTACCAATGTGTCAACCCAGAGTAATTACAATTGATTTGGACATCCAAAAGCTAGTAACTTAAAGGTAAGAATTCACTTTGTGGAACATTGTGGCCAAAGAAAGAAAGTAAGCTATTAAGCTATTGTGCTAATGTCTCCATGTCATCTTCTACACTCTGACTCAGGACACAGCCTAGATAACAATCTCAGATGTGTCTGATATCGCCAGCTCCTGCTATTTACTCCCAATTAAATCCATTCTGATTTTTATGCTATGTGTCTCCATCTCAGCAACAAGTAAAGATGATATGGCTGAAGGTAAAGTCCAAAGACAAAGTGACAAAGGCACTTAGCCTGCTAGCTTTATAAATAATCCAAGGCAGCTAAGAAATAAAAATGATCAGCCGGGCGTGGTAGCACGCGCCTGTAATTCCGGCTACTCGGAAGGCTGAGGTGGAAGGATCGCCGGAGCCCAGCAGGTCGAGGCTGCGGTGGCCGGGAGCGGCCACTGCACTCCAGTCTGGCTGACAGAGTGAGACTCCAACTCAAAAAAAAAAAAAAAAAAAGAAATAAAAATGAGGCCTTTTTGCATTTCTTAAATGATAACAGCGTTAATCATTTAAAAAGGCATTGATTTAACTTCACATAAAAGAGCAAAATAAAAAAATGTAATCAGCTGAACCGTCAGGAAAATGAACATGGTACCCTACAAATCTCTGTTGAGTTTTCACGCATTCTCTAAAAAAACATTTATCAAATACCATAAAATGTGCTGTGCTAGACAAACTGTGTGGAATTCTGGCATGAGTAAGGAATCCAGTTCAGGGGAGAGCAGCTAAGACAAAACAAGAAAAAAAAACAAAGGAAAGAAAAAGAAAAAAAGTGTTTTTATAGATATAAAACTTAAAAAGGAAGAAAGGAGCAGTCAATTTAAACAGAAAAGGAGCAATCCTTAGCAAGAAAAAAAAAGTGGGAGGAATCACAGTTCCAGACTTTAAACTCTACTATAAGGCTACAATAATCAAAACAGCCTGGTATTGGTACAATAGAACAGGATAGAGATTCCGGAAGCAAAACTTCAATTTCTCAACCAACTCATCTTCAACAAAGCCTCCACCATCAACCACTGGGAGAGGAGAACCTATTCAGTAAATGGTGCTGGGAAAACTGGCTGACCACATGTAGAAGATTGAAACAGGACCCCTACCTATCACCATATACAAAATCAACTCTAAATGGATCAAAGACATAAACATAAAACCTGAAGCTATAAAAATCTTTAAAAATGCAGAAGACACCCTTACAGAACTAGACAATCAATTCCTTATCAAAATCACACATACACCAAAAAAAATCACAAATGCCCATGCCATAAAAGATAAGATAGACAAGTGGAATTTCATCAAATTGAAATGCTTCTGCAAAGCAAAGGAAACCATCAAGAGAGTGGGAAGACAGCCCACAGAATGGGAAAAAATATTTTGCCAACTGTATATCAGACAAAGGCCTAACATCCAGGATCTACAAGGAACTCAAAAGTGCCAAGCGGAAAAAAACAAACAGCCCTATTAAAAAGTGGGCAAAAGATATGAATAGACATGTCTCAAGAAAAGACACATGAGCAGCTAACAGATACATGAAAAAATGCTCAGCTTCACTAATCATCAAAGAAATGCAAATTAAAACCACACTGAAGCCAGGCTTGGTGGCTCAGCCTGTAATCCTGCGCCTTGGGAGGCTGAGGAGAGTGGATTGCCTAAGCCTATGGGTTCGAGACCCGCCTGGGCAACTTGGTGAGGCCTCATCTCTACAATAAATCAAAAAATTAGCCGGGTGTGGTAGCGTGCGCCTGTAGTTCCAGCTACTTAGAAAGCTGAGGCGGAAGGATCGCCAGAGCCCAGCAGGTCGAGGCTGCAGTGGCCGAGAGTGGCCACTGCACTCCAGTCTGGGCAACAGAGTGAGATTCCAACTCAAAAAAAATAAAAAATAAAAAAATAAAACCACACTGTGATGGCACCTAACTCCAGTCAGTATAACCATCATCAAAAACTCAAAAGACAACAGATGCTACAGAGGAGGCAGAGAAAAGGGAACACTTCTACACTGTTGGTGGGAATGTAAACTAGTACAACCTCTGTGGAAAACAGTGAACAATTCCTAAAAAATGTAAATACAGACCTTTCATACAACCCAGCAATCCCCCTTCTGGGAATATACCCAGAGAAACTCAAATAATTTTTTTAAAAGGTGCCTGCACACGCACGTTTATTGCAGCACAGTTCACAACAGCAAAAACATGGAACCAACTGTGCTGCCCCTCAAAACTGGACTGGAGTAACAAAATGTGGTACATACATGCAATGGTATACTATGTAGCCATAAAGAAGGTTAAAATTATGGACTTTGCAGCAACTTGGATGGATTTAGAGTCTATAATACTCAATGATCTATCACAGAAACAAAGAACTGAGTATCACATGTTCTCACTCATAACCACACCCTGAACGTTTGGGGGGTGGGGTGGAGGCACTTTACACCAACAAGCGTACATGATCTCAAACCAGGTGAAGTGGGGACCAAAGGAAGAACCAAAGGTTACCTATAAAATAACCACTTATCTACCTAATCCTATGTTGTACCCCATATCTTCAAAATAAATAAATTTTAAGCTTTGCGCGGTGGCAGTATCGTAGCCAACAGGGTTTATCCGAGGTGCGATTATTGCTAACTAAAATAAATAAATTTTTTTTAAAATGAGAAAAGGTTCCACAGTACAGGTAGTAATGAAACTGAGCCTATGAGGGGGCAAAGAATTTCTACAATTCAAAGAATAAAAAGGAAGGACATTCCAAAATCTGGGGAAAGAGTAACTAAAGACTCAGAAGAGAAAAAGTGTTAAGCACAAGTACAGAAATGGAAGCACAATAGGGAAGTATAGCACTTCTGAAAATACAGTGAACGAATCTGGAAATGCGTACTGTCAAACTAAGTTCTGGGTAAAGGAGACAAAAGGAGATTTACTGGGACAGTGACTCCCATATCTGGCTGCTCATCAAATGTCACCTGACATGTTTAGCATGTAGACTTTCAGATGTCACCAGAAACAGGAAATTGTGGGTTTTTTAATTAAGCTCCTAGGGTGATTCTCATTATCAGTCAGATATGAGTAGAACAAGAACTGCTAGGCAAGGAATGGCAGGGCAGAAGCAAAGAGAGTAAAAACAGGGCAAAAAAAACCAGGAGGGTAAGTATGCCATGTGCGAATACATAACAGGGCCAAATGTTCGCAGAAAAAGACATTATGTTTGGATATTCTAAGTTTGAGTTACTTATAGGGTAGAAAATTTGGTTCTAGAAATTCAGGAAAATTAACTTTGTATTCAAACATACACTACTTGCTGACACCTCTTCTAGATTTGCTATGTGCAGTCAGCCCTCTGTTTTGTTGGTTTCCACATCCACAGATGCAATCAACCACAGATGAACAATATTTGGGGGAAAAAAGAATGAAAAATAATAATATAACAACAAAAACAATACAAACTTTAAAATTACTGTGCAACAACTATTTGAATAGCATTTCTATTGTATTAGGTATTTTAAGTAATCTAGAGATGATTTAAAGTATACAGGAGGATACGTGTAGCTTTATACAACAGACAAGCATTTGTGGATTCTGGTATCCACCAGGGATCCTGGAACCACTCCTCCACAGACATCAAAGGACAACTGTATTGCTACCCAACCATGTTTTATTATAGTAATTAACTTTGGGAATATATGTATTTCTCCTTAAATACAAGAAGGGCTAATGATATGCATCAGGCATAGTGCTACAAACTTAAGAGGAACTCAACAATTATTTATCGAATAGTAAATGTTCAAAGTTTCTCCTAAAAGGAAGCCTTTAAAAAGTTGAAGATTGTATTTGGCCTTCTTTTAATTAAAAAGAAAAAAGAAAAAATCTCTGCTTTTTTTCCTTCTTTCATTTATTTATTGATTTATTTTTAAGATGTCATAATTCTTACCTTTGCTGCCAAGGCTTTTAAACTGTCAAGGAATCTTTGCCAGAAATCCTTGAAGAGTGGGCGGTCAATTTTCTTCAGGCTATCTTTGGTGCTAGCATCCACACTGACATATAGCTGAGTAACTGGCTTGAGGTTTCTTGGTAATTTAAAAAAGAAAAGAAAAAGAAAATTATGCCTACATTAGGCTTTTTATGATACAAAACTTACAATCTATAAAAATGCAGTGATTAGGCATTTCCTTGGGTCTAGAAGCTTCTACTTCCAGAAGACTGAACTAATGATTTTAATAATGTGACAAAATGGGATATCCTCTGGTTATTTTTTAAATGACTGGACACTATCCCTAATAAATTAAAAACATTCGATTACTTAAAATGAGTCCCTCCTCAAACAGTAGTTTTCAATAGAAAATAAGCAAAACAAGATCTACCATTAGGTCTGACAGCATCAGCCCAGCCCAATTAGAAGGGTTCTCACACCTAACTTTCCCCATAAACTCTGCCAGTCAAGACATACACACAGTTGAAACATCATAGCCGCATGGGGTCTGTGCTGATGGACCATCTTCCACCATCAATTCACTCATGGAAGTCTTCCAAGGAACAAGAAACAACCCCAAAAGCGCAAGCCATATTTGAAGGGCACAAAGTCACACCTATAAGCCTCTGAACGTGGGTGTGAGTTTAAAGTCAAGTCTTATGTGGGCAAACAATGACCTACTCAGGGAGCTTTAAGCAATGCCAAGCTAGAACAACAGCAAATTAGCACTTACTAAGGAGCACAACCCAGAAGAAAAATGTCGGTTGCAGATTCTTACTTTTTCTTGCCTTCTCCGTCAGTTTCCATGAATACCACTCATTCTCACTTCTCTCAAATTTACTGACTCATTTCATAATTTCATTCCTACCTAAGATTTCTTGCAAGTTATGCTTTTAACCTACCTAAACTGTACTTTTTCCAAAGCCTCTCCCCTTTTCCTTTCAAATGGGTCTCAAAACTAGAAGAGAAGAAAGAAGTTCCTCTTAATAAGCCTCTGATCAAACTATCTCACTGTTAATTTTCTAAAACTATTCCCCAACTTATCCTACATTTACCGCTAGAATTTTATGCACTTTTTGATTCAAAGACAATGCATTTTATAAAATAGGGAAATATAATTCACAGTAAAATTCACCATTTTAAAGTAGCTTATATGCTTTTAATATAATACTATCAGCCTTATCAATCTTTGAATATAAGATCTTGTAGGGCAGGAATCAGAATTTGCTTTTTGTCCAGTCATGCAAATATTAAAGCTAATTTTTAGTGAATATTGTTGATTTTAGCAGACAGAACTTCTAAGAAAAAGTAAACCAAATAAATGCTTCTAAGAGAAAGTAAACCAAATAAATGGCTTAGTGGCATACAGAAAAATCAGAAATGTCTAGACCCAAAGTTATTAAAAGTGGAGAGGCTCTAACCAAAGGTAGGAAAGAGGCAACTAAAATACTAGCAAACTCTCATTTCTTTAACATCTCTGCAAGGCTGATAAACAAAGAGAATCCTTCAAAGACCAATAATGTGTCACTACTGAGAAAAGTACATCAATTATTGAAAATGCAAAGTAAGAATACCAGTAATGGCAGCATTCTGTCTCATCACCCCTTTTGCTTGGGGCCTCCCTTTTTTTTTTCAGTTTTTAATTTTTTACGCAGGGAGGAGCACAAGGGCACCGCCTGGCACTACCCGCTCCCTACCTCCTCACTCCTGGTTGAGGCCTCTTTAATAACAGAAAAGCTATGCTACTGTTACTGAACATTTTTTTTAACCTAGATTTTTCTTAAAAAAGATTATCTCAATGGCTATTGCTGGCTATCATTGCCTGATACTGAAAGAACTTTGTCATAAAAATTCCTGGTGTAAAATGGGAAATGGCCTGACCTTTTCACTATGCCTCCATGACTACTTAAGATTATGAACAGTAAATTCCAGAGACTATACTTATTTTACAAACCTCTATCACTTGCAGGGGGGGAGGGAAGCAAGTCCTGGACACTGACAGTACTAAATGTCTGAGATGCTACAATCAAAGAAGTTTACAGACCTCTTCCCAGGGAGCAGAGGAAAGGTCCCTAGAAATTATAGAGCACATTTCTAAGAAGCCCAAAAGCAGCAAAGGGAACCTGGAAGAATTAGGGATCTCATTTCTGCCTAGTACTGGCCTCGCTCAGAACAGACAATGAGGCACCCAACATTGTCTCTAGTCTATACATTGATAACATTTTAGTTGCCAAAAAGATAGTCAATCCTGCATTATTAAAATCATCATTATAATTTCTGTGTTTAAGAATCTCACACTGCTGCTGAGAACAATTAAAAAGGACAATATTTGGGGTACACAATCTTAAACTCAATCCCTAGTATAGCGTCCAATGGCTCTTGTGATTTCTGTGATGATCCTTCATTTGAATTTTAAATCTGAGTTATGAACAATCATGTATAAGGAAGCATGGACAACTGAACACAAAAATCCCTCTTCATTTTTTCCTTCCTGTAGAGATGATTAGGCCTCATTCTACCTTCCAGAGAATGTAGCTCAGAAGGTAGAATTTGGCTTAACAATATTTACAGAAAAAAAAAAAGGGAGAGAGATTTATGCTTGTAAGAAATCCAAGTAAATAGTAACTTTCATGCTACTCTTGGGATTAAAAAATAACCAATGTGGCCCAAAACATCCAGTGCTATTAAAACTCAAATCTCCAGGCTGGGCGCGGTGGTGCATACCTATAATCCCAGCTCTTTGGGAGACTGAAGTGAGAGGATTGCCTGAGTCCATGGGTTCAAGACCAGCCTGGACAACCTGGTGAGACCTCATCACTACATAAATCAAAAAAATTAGCTGGGCATGGTGGCACGCACCTGTAGTTCCAGCTACTTGGAAGGCAGAGGCAGAAGGATCACCGGAGCCCAGCAGGTCGAGGCTGCAGTGGTCATGAGTGTGCCACTGCACTCCAGCCTGGGCAACAGAGACTCTAACACACACACGCACACACACACACACACACACACACACACACAACGCTCAAACTTCTAAGACAATCTGAGGCTGTCATATAATTATAATTCAGGAAGAAGAGAGGAGAAGAAAATTATTTCCTATTTACCAAGAATTCATCATATGCTGGGCACACTGTGCTATATGCTTTTGCCTCTTGTCCAGTTCACTGAATCCTCACAGTAAAACAATTAGACAGTAGCTACTTAACGCCCATTTCAAAGATGATGAAGCTGAGGTTCAAAAGGTTACACAGCATGAGTAAGGATCCATAAGGCATAAGCAGCAACAATGCAACTCAAGCCTAGAAGTGATTCTAAAGCCTGTCTTCCTAACCCTGCAAAATTCACAGCATGGTTCAGTATTAAATCACTACAGTTTAATGTAACAAACAGTATTTCATAAAATGAAAAAAATCCAAGAGGGTATAGATTACTTATGATATGTAGATTATGAACCCAAAGTCATAAGAGAAGTCAAAACTACAAGCCTTTGGAAAGAAATTCATTGGAAAGAAAGGACTTCATTAAGGGTCTACTATGAACTGGACACTGGACAGAAGAGGCTCATCCTTCAAGACTTATGTTCAGGAAGGAGCAAGAAATGAATTAGCTTGCCACGAAGCGCTCAGTGCCATGACTAAGGTAGGTAAAGAAAAGGAATAAATGGAGGGGTGAGTTGATTTTGCTTGGCAAAACCATACAAAAGGCATAACAATAAGATCAAAGTTAAAACTGACCTTGAGGGACACAAAGTTCATCAGGAAGATAATGAGAAGATCATTTCTAGGAATAATCAAAGAATAACAAGCAAAGGGCCAGATCTGGAAGATGCATCAGGACAAAGAAGTCAAAACTATCCAAAGTGGGTCTAACATGGCAAACAGGACTGGAAGATGCCTGTGGCTAGGTCTCATGTCTTTGCAAGGTTAGGTTTGCCTTACAGAAGATCTAAGTAGCCAATGACACAATCAGATCAGTGCTGAAGAAAGTAAAGCGACTTCAGTGTGAAAGATGGATTAAAAATGTAGCTCAGGGCACTATTCTACACCTGGGTTTCCTCCCACCCCCAACATATTACCAACCCAACAACCTTTACCCACAATTTCAAAATCCAAAAAGTTCTAAAAATCAAAAGGTTGTTTTTCTAAGTTTGGAGCCAAATTCACTTGGAAGCAAAATGTGACTCACACGGCTGTTTGTATTCTTAATCTTTCCATTTATGTGAATAAGCAGACTTTACTGCAGAACTAATTATATGTGTGTGGCTGTAAGGTGCAGGAGGTGTTACATAAAACATAGTGTATTTGTGCAGTCTTGCCTTTCTAAAATTCTGAAACACTTTTGGGCACAAGGAATGAGACTGTGAAAAGTACCTCATAAAAACTATCCCTACGAACACATAAAAAGCTTTTGCACTTTTGTCTTGGATTTTTTTTTTAACAACTACATAGTATGAATGCACTTTGTGACTTCCTTTTGATACACTGGCTACTTAACAGTGTGTTGTTTAATTTGCACACATCTGTGAATTTCCCAAATTTTGGTGTGACATTCTTGGCCATTGTTTATTCACATATTCTTGCTTCCCCTTTCTCTCTCTCCTCTCCTTCTGGAACTCCCATTATATATGTTGGCATGCCTGAAGGTGCCCCACAGCTCTCTGAAGCACTTTATTGATAGTCTATTTGATGAGTCATTATTCTCATACTTTTCTTTGGTTCTTCAAAAATACTTTGCCGTAGTTCTTTAAACACATTTAAAATAATTTAAAGTATTTTGTTGTGTGCATAACTAATTGAGGCTAGTATCTCGTGCAGGGAGTGAAGGAATTTACCAAGACAGTTGGGAATTTAGAAAGGCATATTTGTTCAAGGCAAAAATAGTCTGTAAGAGAACAGGCAATACAGCAGAGAGAGGCTGTGTGCTGTTTGTAAAGAGGTAGAGGCTAGAGGGGAGTTTTTATAAGGCTGTACTGGGGAGCTTAGTGCAGAACCAGGGAAATGGTCTACATGATATACAAGAGGTTTGCAAGAGGGAAATTACCTATTTGGTATATGGTGGGCTCTGCTGGAGAGAAATTATTTATGTGACGGCTTTTGC